GGAGTTTTATCACTGTGTGAATGTAATGGGGATCAGGATGGTTACTGTAATTATAAAATTACCTCTGAATTTAAAGTGTGCTCATTTTGGAATACAAAAAGGGTAAAAATTGTATTCTTTTAACAATAAATATTAAAGAAAAAGCAGAGTTAGTATCCAATTGACCCATGCATCTCAGTTTGTGGTCTGCTTTTGGTTAGATCATTATGAAACAGTAATAGGACATTTGGAATTTTTCTTCCTTTAAGATACCACCAATCAAGCTCTCAGACTAACATTATGCACATAGTGGCTTCTTTTTGAGGATTGAAAATAGATAGGAATAAATAGAAATTAGGAATAAATTGAAAGTAGATAGGAATAGGGAAAAAAATATATTTATGGGAAGGGACACCATAACATTTTTCTTCTGTTCAGAAGACTGCCTTAATGGTGAATATTTATAAATGGTTGTGAAAGTTTGTCCTGGCCTAATGGTAGCTTGTGGGCTAGGGAGTATCAGCAGTGTTCTTCAGATAAGGAGAAAAAGGCCTGAGCATGTTTGCCCAGGGACAACCACTGTTGAATGTAGATTAGACTGACTACTTAAAGTGATTTGTTTATTTTTAAATTACATAGTAGGTGACAACTTGTTATTTTAATGATTGCTATGGTAACTACATGCTTTCAATTTTTACTTGTCATAAAACCATTGTCAGGAATGTGAGGACAGTAATGAATTCCTTCGAATACAGCAATTACTTTTTTTAATCTGTCCTGGATTTGCTTTTCTCTAAGGCATGACAAACTTTAGATATAAAGAAGCTCCTTGAAGCCTTCCAACCCACTCTAGGTTGCTTGTGAGCATTGTATGCCAAGCTGAAAGCAACTTTTCCCTTTTCCCAGAGTGGATCCGTGGACTTAGAATTAGGATAAGAGAGAGGATGTTGACCATACCTGTTACGGAGCTCTGAAATCAAGTAAGAACTTGGTTTCAGCGGTCTAGGACAGAGGGACCTATAGTCCAGCACAGAGTGATAGCAGGATGAACATTGCTGTGCCTGGGGAACGTCTTCCTCACGGCTCTCGTGGGGCTTCTTCTGGTCACTGCTGTTGCAACGAATCTACAGCCTACACAGCAGCAGCAATGGAGGGGCCCAGGATTACACTTACTGTCATTTAGCATGTTTCTTAGCTATGCTGGGGCATTTCCAGCCATTATCATCAGCTTACAAAGCTCTGTATCTGGAGTCCTGCTGCTTCTGTCATCTCTCTATCAGCACCCATATTGATTATAATTGTGGAATGAATTCAGTAGGATGTATCAGGTCCTTAGTGGGGGTTTGGTAACGGGGCCGGTATCAGCAGGAGAAATTCCTCAGAATGTTTCCTTTTAAATCCTGATATCTCTGGTATCAGCGGGTTTTAGTGGCAATGAGTTCCATGTATAATATTCACTGCACCGGGAGAATTTTCTCCTCATAAGTTGGAATTTATCTTTGAGTAGCCCCTTATTGTTAGCAGTATGGCAGAAAGGGGATTGCCGAGCTGTTATTGATGTGGAGTTGGGTACATTATTATAACTCTCAAGTGTCTTTTTTTTCCTCAAGTAATCCATCCCAATGGCTTCTGACTTTCTCCACAGGAAAATTTTTTATCCCCTTGATCATTCTTGCTGCCTGTGAATCTTCTTTCATAATCGCACATTATCCGTCAACACATTCTTCCTGAAGATGACTGCTCAGTTGGTAGACATTTGATAAATTACACGCTCAAACTAGGTACTTCCAGAAAGAAAGACATTCCTATCTGTCTATCTTTCTCAGAGTCTCTTGGTAGGTTATTAAAAGAAAGTCTTTTCTATGTGAATTCCACTAGCTAATAAAAGAAGTGCCTGTTGTACTTCTCAAGTCAGGTGAGGCAGATCACTCTCGTTCTGACTGCCTTATTCTTCATTACTGTCATCTTGGTTCCTGCCGCGCAGTTACTATTGACAGCAAATTTTTAATAAATTTTCATCTGCAGTATTGATGTAAATACTGAACAGTTTGTGTCTTGAACTGATGCCAGCAAATCTGATGGAAGCATTTCATTTGCTAACGCTCTTCAATTGACTCAGCAATATGTCACTATATTCTGAATTCAATTACCCTCTGCTTTATTTTTGTATAATGCTTACTTTTTTAAAAATCAAAATTATATGTGGTAATAAGCCTCTTGTGGCATCTTGCAGTGCTTACAATTTTTGTATGATAAATGAGAACTCTCTTTGGCAATTTTATTTGTAGGTTTTTGTGCTCTGAAATTAATTTGCAGCATCTCAGATTTGTTTTGCCTATGTCAATTTTTGTTTATGCATTTGCTAAACTGTTACCAGCTGCCAAGGCACTGGAGAGCTTTTTCTGCAGAATCAGTAAGAAAATTTATAGCCAGGCCAGATTTTTTTTTTCCTAAATGACAGTTTTGTTTCCTTATTGGGAATTATATCTTACTAGCTATCAGGGGAATTTTCTATTCCTTTCCTTATGAGGTTCTTGTTGTTTTATTTGTGGAGAATTGCACTTCTCCAAACCAAACCTCAAGTCAGAGTCTGGAACAGGTGGAACTTGCTGGAGGTGCAAGGTCTGGGCCTGAGCCCAGCTGCAGCAAGACTCAAGCGGGGATCAAGGGAGAGACATGAGCATAAATTGCCCCTGAAGGAAAGGTAGACTGCTCACAGCTCTGCTGTTTTCCTAATGCTCTCATTGGTGGTCACACAGACCTGCAGCAAAACTCATAGGAGGCAGTTGGGTGCTCGGGGCAGACACTGAGCTCTTATGAGCTCTGGAAGTCTGCATTTCCTTAAAAATTACAGGCTATGTTATTATTGGCAGAATAACCAATCTTGTGTTGCCCAGCAGTTAGTTTTTTATTTTTTTTTGTCTGAGTTCATTACAAATGTTACTACTTCATTTGCATAATTACTGAGATGTTTATGGACATTTGGAATGTTGCAGTCTAAGACCAGTTGTGTTAGTGATGTGGGGTGAATTTCTAAGCAGATAGTAGACCTGCAGATCTGCAACTGAGTGTTATATGGAGATGACATGAACTTGAATAAAGGGGCTCCTCAACAAATGCTGATGAACATTTGAATGAATATGTGAAAGCTGCAGTGAAGATGTGTGCAAGGAGAGAAGGCTTAAGGACAAAAAAAGCTGATGATATATTTTTCTTTGGGAACTGTTACATGAAAGGAAAAAAGGACTTTTTTTTCAGTAAGATAATTCTTTTGCATGCCTTTTTTAGAAGCTCAAACAGGCTGTTGGAAAAACAGAGGTTTTCTCATTGATGATTCCCTGGGTGTTTTGCTTATTCTCTGTTTGCTTCTCATCATCTCTTCTACCCATTAGAAGAAGGCTTAGTTGTATCTTCTGGTTTTTCTCGCTTTTTTTTTTCTTCTATAAACATCCTCTGCTTCCTCAGCAACACTCTCATAGTGGTAGTTCACTGTAAGGCAACAAAGCCAGTGGGATATAGCCAGTCTCAGTCATCCTGAAGTCTTGAAATCTGGCAGCTGGCTTCTCAGCACTCTTGCAGCTGGGTGCCAGGCTTGCATGGAAGAGTTTGCAATGGGGAGGGAATTTGGGAGTGAGAAAAGGACAAATTCCTGAGAGGCTGCATCACAGCAGGAGGTGGCTTTCAGTGTTGGGATGGGCAACAAACTTGATTTGTGTGCCCTTCTGTAAAAGCATTTACTGTGTTACTAGTGCTTTCTTACTGGAATAAAAATTCTGGATTTAGCAAATTCTTTAAGGTATTCCATGCCTGTGTTCTTTCTGTATCTTTGCAAATTGAGGTATTAATTTGAGTTTTGAGTGTTACTTTTTTCACTAGACCTATCAATCTCTTATATTGTTCGTCTTCTTGCAAATCTGCTGTTTTAAATGAAAAAGTACATCTAGTTTCTTGGAGTACATTTGGTGGCAGATGTCAAGACTGTACTGCCTGTGGTGGCTAAGAATCCAAAGTTGTGCCTGCAGCTCTTGAAAGTAATGAAATGCATGAATGTGAATGACACTTGTTAAGGACGCACTCCAAGTTTGCATTTACATAAGTAGTGTGGAGGTATACATTTGTTTTATGACTGGTGAACTGCAGTGAAGTTGGTGATGTTTTCAGTGGTGAACCTTTCTTTGTATTGATGACTTTTTCCATAAAGCAGTGACTGGGTTTTGCACTATGAAAAGCATGTCTCTCCTATGTTGTTTGTATGCTTTATATTTGGAGCACCACAGAAAACTATTTTCATTAATTTTTGTTATTATTTACCAATGGACAATTTGTCACTTCCAATTACTTCTGTTTACAATTTTCCTGACTATGCCCTGTAGCTAAAACCAATGTTTAGTTTTCCAAACCCTAACTCACTCCCGCAAAATACATACCATAGTCTGATATCAAACTAACAGAGTAAGGGGTCTTTGGCTTCTCTCTGGTCTTCATTTGCAGCAGCAGCATAAAGATGCCCAGAAGCTAGTTGTAAGCAGCTGAATGGGGATTTCTCCAGAAATAAGAGAAAATTTCTAGGTAACAACAAGTTGGTATTATGACGTGTAATTCTGTGCATGGGGGATATAGCTGAAATGCCACTGCATTCAGAGACTCGTTCTCCAGTGAGACTCAGTGTTTTAACAGCCTGTCTCACAATAAGGATGGATGTAGACATGACTCCCTCTGCTGCCAGTGTAATAACAGCTATTTGGGCTGTCTTTTTATTTGCTTGTCAGTTTGTCCTGTTTTTCTCAGTAGCAGCTGGTGTATTCTGTACTCATTCAAGAGATTGTGCCCAAAGCTTATGAAATCTATTTTTTCAAGTGAATACACATACTATATAGTTATTTTTAACAAATTCTGCTTTAAAGTCTTATTTGAAATTAGTTCTGTTGCTGTGCTACCACTACTGTTACATGTGCAAGCCTTGAACTGTCAAGGAATTATGTATTTTTATCCTGTGACATTTTAAATTATTCTCTCCATAGGGGAAGCCTGTGGGAACACCAGATGCTGGTGCCTATTTCCGCGTGTTAGCAGAGCATGAAGTAGCTGCCTTCTTTACTTCACCAACTGCAATTAGAGCAATCCGTCAGCAGGACCCTGAGGCAGCCCTGGGAAAGCAGTACTCTCTAAAAAGGTGAACTAAGGATACACTGGAAGCAGTTTCTTACAGAAACAGACTGGATAAACTAAGAATAGCAATGTCTGGGGCTTTATCCACCTCTGTATAGCAGAATTCAAATACAGTCTTGACAAATCAGGTGTACACATTTGGTTGTGAATTTCAGTTGATCGTTTGGAGGAGAGATGAGCTATTAAAAGCATGACTTAAATTAAAATTAAAAAGATGACTCTACAGTTAAGAATTCTTAGTGAATTAAGATTGCTTACTCAATTTTACTCCACTGTTCTTATACCCTGCAATACAGTCTTGGATTACGTGATCCTGTACCATTTTCCCAGGTGATCTCCCACTTCACTGAGTGCACAGGATCTTCAGTGTTCATTTAATCAGAAGCTAGTCAATATGTTATCTTTCCATTATTTAATTTCTGATTACAGTTATGTACTGCTATTTCATACTGTTTTTTGAAGTGTTTATTGCTGTGCTACCTCCATGCTTCAAAACTGTGAGTTCATCCTTATAAATCCCTTCTGAGATGAGAGAGTGGTATTAGCCGTGTTTTGCAGATGGGAAGCTGAAGCACAGGGAGATTAAGGTCAAAGTCTTCTATTAATTTTGAATACTCAGTCTAAGCCACTAAAGTACTGCTGTTGGAGAGGTTTTAAAAATTTGTGATAAAAATACATTATTAACGTTATGCGGTTAAAATGCTTCACATATTGACTTCATGTACCTGTGATTGTTCAGTAATTCTACAAATCAAGCTAAGAATCATATAGCAAACATTAAGAATGTGCGGTTTTGGATGACATCTAATCTTGGAGTTGAATCATTTGCTCAGCATCAGATGAGGGCCATATGAGATGCTAGGCAGTATTCAGTCGTGGGAGCACCTTCTATCACAGTTGTCCAAAGAATAAAGGAAGATGAGAAGCTGTATAGCTTAATGATACCTTCACTTTCTTAATTACTCTGAAAAGTTTGATGTATCAGTAAGCTGGATTTATTCCTGAGGTATTCATTATAAGTTTTCTTCCATCTCTTTTAAGAGCTATCATCAATTGTTTCCATTCCATGAAATGAGGAACAAAGCTATTTTGAGACCCTAAAGCCCTATTCTTCTTTGATGTTTCATAGTAAGAAGGTGGCTCACATGCTAAAAAATTTAATTGCCATTCCTCAGCACTTCTTTAGGTGGTGACTAAAATGAGCCAGTCCATATAATTAGAGTAATAACTGAGTAGAAAATCTGCTAAGCTACTGTGTAAGATGTTGAATTTTCTTGCCAAAGAATTCCAGGCAAGTAAGAGTCCTCTTGCTGATATCAGCTGTCCCAGATGTTAAAAAGATATTTTTGTCATTCCTGTTCAGTGCTTAGTTGATGAGCTTCTCCATTTAAGTACAGTTTGATTCTGCCTATAATTAATTCAGCTTTGGGCCACATCATTCCCTGTTAAATCATTTCTCCTCTAGTGCAGCATTTATTATGTAGTATTCTCTTGAATTGTCTTAAGTCAGTTAGATCCAAACTCCTTTTCACTTGTGGGTAAAAAGTCAGTACCAGTGACAGTTCTCTGACTACTAGCACGGTACTGGAAGGTTGATGGTCTTCAGCATGCCTCTCTTTCAGTGTTAGACAAGAATTATCTTACTGTAAAGTCTAGTTGTGACTCCTAACTACTTGGCTATGTGTGATACTGTGGGATATATTACTGAATTTGAAAGGGTACCTAAATAAGTCTGGCTATTCTACAATGATTTCAGTATTAACATCCAGCTAGTTATAGTGTGTGTTATTTTAAAATGAAAACTGCAGTTCTTCAGAAATAGGGTACAGCAAATGACTAAAATCTCCTTTCTTGCATGGACTTTTCCATTGAAGGTCAAGAGAATTTCCTTTCAGTTTGAAATCTGTCTTATGTTTACTTCGTACACATCTACTTCATATGCTATGAAACTTTATTATCCATATGGCTTTGTATAATGTAAAGTGGAATGTCTTTCTGCCATCTGGGATAAAATATCCCTACTTATTCTAGAAACTCAATATCACATGGCCAGGAATGTATTCTTGAAAGAGGACTCCACCACGGTGCATTTAGTTCCTGAGAACTTATATTAAAATATGCTGTTGATTAAGGTGTTTTTGTTTTAAAATCCTATTTAAAAAGAACTTCCTGATAAGATATGGAGAAGGTAGGCTGTGCCAGCTTCCAGTACACAAAGGAGTACTTGATTTACAGGAGTAAACTGAATGATAACCAGAGTTCTGTTCTTCTGAACTGACAAAAATTATATAAATCCCTGTTAAAAACTGATGTTGTTTGCATCGCTTACAACTAAGTTATGTTGTATGTTCCAAAGCTTATAGCATGCTTTATTCAAATTCCATATTGGCTTTTGGAATCTTAATATTTGCTGTTGGACAAAACATCGCTTATGTCTTAAACATGGGTGTTACGTTAAACAGCAAAAGATATTTTTGATTTGCAGGACTGTGGGATAAAAACCCTCTTCAACCACTTAACTCTATGGTGTCTTTAAAGACCAGGTTTTTGATAATACACAGAGCTGCTAAGCAATCCATCTGATTGTACTGCTGTCTGTTGTGCTTGAAAATCAACCAATACCCAAATTCCATGACCTGCAAGTACCTGTGTGTATTCTGGTTGGCTTTTGGAGTCAGTTAACATCTTCATGAGGTAACTCCATAGCATCAAACTATTTGGGATCACAATCCATCTTTTAATTGATTACTATGATTTGGTTAGGTCTGATTTCCAAATGATTAACAACTGACAGCTATACATGAAATTGGGTAACAGTTTACTGCTACTCATATTTTAATTTAATCTGTTAATTTGTAGCTTCTGTTCCATAGCCTACTTGGTGTTCTTTGCTTTAGGTTAATTGTGAGTGTTCTGTCATTTTATTGTATCAAGAGATTCTGGAGACTGAAGCATGTTTGTTTGATACCAGATATTAATGTGCTTGCTTAAAGAAGAAACATGAGTCTGACTGCATAAAATCCGTTCAGAAATAGTAGGTCTAAAGTGATTAGTAACTGCTAGTTTCTCTCTCAAAACACAGGAACAAGGGGATGGGAAATTAAAGTAGCAAACTCTGTTGGTGTTAGAAATTCTTTCTCACAAAATTTATGTCTCGCACACACTACTAGAGATGTGATTAAAGTTCAGAATCTAGGACAGTTGGAGTATGTTACTGAGTGCTGTTTGCTACCACCTACCTTGTGCTACTGTAGATCATGTGGCTATTTCTCATGGAGTCTCTAGCTGAGTTCTTCAAAAGCTTTTGTGGAGCTCCCTTTTACCTGCACTTGGAAAAGAAGCTGAGCTGCTTTTGTATTCTGCGTCTGTGACTCAGCCACCCAAACATCGACTGCTTGAATCCTCCTAAACAGGGTAAAATATGGTTGGGGAGAGGAATGGGCAAGGACATCAATGGAGAAAAATGAGATGAATAAAATATATATGTTTTACATGTTTAAGTATCTACAGTCTCCAGAGGCTTTAAGAATTAGTCAGAATTTTTTATTTCCAGATTCTGGAAATAAATTAACCTTCCTCACTTTTTTTTTTTTTTTTTTCCAGTAAAAACAAGTTTATTTAACATGATGCAGGGATTTTCTTTGCCAGGGAAAAACTGGCAGACTTAAAAATACTTTCACAATCTTTTAATCCAGAAGAGTTTAGCTGAGATTACTCATGTGAACGCTCTTGCTTTGCAATAGTGGTTTTGATATGTAGTTTCTTTTGTGCTTGGAGTGACACCAAAATGTGCATGCTGTTTTGAATGACTTAGATTGTTGCAGGACCACTAACACTCATCTGTCCCCTGCATGAGGTAGCACTTCATATTCACTCCACTGGACTAATAGGGCCTAAAATCTTGATTTTCTGAGTGACAACGTAGGACATATTTACTTAACGGAGAGGTTTTAAGTTCTTTCTACTCCATTAACTGCATTGCAGTGGTAGATGATTGCAATAATAGGTGCATTGACATGCTTTGAAGTTTTAAGTGGATTGTTAAATAATTGTTCACAGTGGGACACTTTATAACTGTTGCCGTCTCTCTTGTTATACTGTTTGAAAGGAGAAAATAATTCTATAATTCTATAAGTTCATAGCTCTTATGCTTTGTTAGGCTTATGGCACTTTGCTCTTGTATTCTCTTTGGTAGGCTTGTATGGTAAGTTGTCCAAAGAGCTAGTTCCAATTCTTCCCACAACATGGGGTTGCTCTAGAGCCTGTGGAAACAGGCCTGATTATTAAAGCTGGGAATTCAAAAGGAGGAGTTCTGGTTCTGGCTTAAGGGGTAGCATGCTGTCTTAACTTTTTAGACAAATCTTTTGAGTGCTTGGCCTATTGCTAGCTCTGTTTTTAAAGCAAGGGCATTTATCAGAGTCTTTAGAAGCTTATAAAGTTAATACATTTATAAGCTAAATGTTTACATCTGAACTGAAATTCTGTGTTTAGTAGGCCTAGTTACAGAACATTCAATACCATGTAAATTGAGCAATGCTTAGGAGAAGTGTCCTGAATGTAAACACGAGTCTTAAAAAGCTTTTCAGAAAGTAAGTATTTGTGGGCTTTATTTATTCAGTATTTTCTTCGCTATCATGAACTTTTAACTGTTTCAACTCCCAGTTAGCTATTAACTGTAATTATCAGCAGTCGTTTGTGCTTTCAAAGAAAATAAGTTTGGGATTCGGATTGGGCACACACTCATTAAAACAATCATCTTCTAATATGGGAGATGTGCTCAGAAAGCAGTTTGTCAAAATGATGCAGATCTACAAGTACAGAAAACACTATACTTCCTTGATGTGAAAGCTGCTTGCTTACAACATTTGTTTTGAGGTTTTATCTGGTTTTTTTTTGCCTGTACATTGTTTGAAGTTCCAGAGTAACTTCCAGTCTTGCTGCATTTAATAAAAAAATTGAAAGACTGTGCCTTTCAGCAGGAATTTTGACTAGCACAGCATCAGACTTCCATGAAGTCCGTTTAAGTACTTGTGCTTTATCTATGTGTGAGTGTTTGTCCTCCAGTTCACCTACACAGTACAATCAGACATGATGGAAAAGACCACCCCCCTGCTGTGATTAGACATCCATATTCTTAGACATGGCTTATATACACATCAGTCCTAGGGGTGGACATACGCTTAGTCATGTAAAACTGTAGTACTAAGACCTCCGATTTGCTTGAAAAAGAACTTGCTTTCTGCCCTGTCCTATATGAGGATATGACAAGTAGACAATCTCCTTCTCAGCTGTTAGCTATTCAGTCTGACACAGCAGCAGGGGTTTGACTTCCAAGCTTGACAGAAAGTTAAAAGCTTGCTGTTAACCCACCTGCTTACTCTGTACCTTTTCCAAAAATTATCTTCAGCTTTGAGGGCGCTGAATTCTTACTTCTAGCTACACCTTTAGCACTGTGTGCAGTTCAGAATACTACAATATAATGATGTAAAACAATTAGTGCCCGGAGGAGGGCTGCAGAGGTGGTGAAGGGTCTGGAGGACAAGGTGGATGAGGAGCAGCTGGCGTCCCTTGGTTGGTTCAGCCCAGAGCAGAGGAGCTGAGGGGAGGCTTCATGGCAGCTGCAGCTCCTCACAGGGAGCAGAGGGGCAGCGCTGAGCTCTGCTGTGTGTGACAGCGACGGGGCCCAAGGGAACGGCATGGAGCTGTCAGGGGAGGGGCAGGTTGGGTGTTTGGAAATGGTTCTTTACCAAAGGTTGGCTGGGCCCTGGAACAGGCTCCCCACGGCAGTGGGCATAGTCCAAAGCTGCTGGAGTTCTCTCAGACATAGGGTTTGATTTTGGGTGGTCCTTATAGGACCCAGAAGTTGCACTTGGTGATCCTTGCAGGTCCCTTCCAGCTCAGGCTGTGCGATGATTCTGTAAATCTGTGTCACGTTCTAGTAATGATGACTCTTTGTTACACGAAAGAAGTTTGCTGCCCTAAGACCAGATATCCCTGCCTTCTTTTTCTAAGTGATGTGAGAGCAAGATAATAAACCATTCTTTACTTTTGTAACTTTTTATAAGACGATGATCTTTGTCCGGTGTTGTGAGTATCCACCAGTTTAAATGCAATTAAAATGGTTTTAATTTGCTTATTACAAAATCAGAAATGCCAAAATTCTGCCACAAAAGGAATAAAGTTGCTGTGCTGGTGTTATAAAGATCAAAACATTTGCAGCTTGCAGTGATGTACTGTAATGTCCTGATTCTATGTAGTAACAGTCATATTTAAGAAAGCTACAGTTGACAGAGGACCTTATCATACTAAACAAAGCGTGAAATCAATTTGTGGGGCTTAATGAAGGATAACAGTATGGCAAAATCTGATGAAAGGTGATGATTAAGACTGGGAGGGGGTTATTGGCCAGGTATGTAGCACTGCCTGACTTAGTGGTGTGAAAATGCTCTGTATCTGTCTTGACTGTCAGGTGTTGCATTTATTTTCTGCCAAAGTTGTATCAGAGTGTCCAGCCAAATAGGCTGAATTCCAATACCATTGTTCTGAGATCATCATTAGCTTGTAGGATTACATGATTTATTTTTTTATTTATATGTAAATAGTCTCTGTCTTTACGGGAAAAGGTTTTTAGCTGCTGTTGTTTCTCTACCAAACTCATTTCCAAAGGCATATGAGAAGATAACTCACAAAACATTAAGATCTATTTAAATGGAATACTGTTAGGAAATTAAAGCTAAGAGTTATGCTACAGGTATTTTGTATTACTTCTGCTTATTTCTTCAGTAATTTCTCTGATATCTCTTTCTTTGTATTTTGTGTTTTTGTTTTGCCTGATGGATATCTACCTAGATTTGTGTATAAATTATTTAAATATTCCTTGCTTCCATCTACAGTTGGCTGTCACTAACCTACCAAAATCTCTGAATTTTGAAAATAAAGCTTGTTTTACATGATGTGTCAGATTGCATAAATTAGTATTGCAGGATTTTAATTGTTACTCAGTAGGATGGAGTACATTCATCAATACATCATACAAAGAGTAAGAGACTTCCCTCCCTTTTTCTCCTTATCTTATCAGGAACATAGGCCACAAGTGTTTGTTGAATTAATTGAATTAATTTTTGTGTCACTTTCCTATCCAGATCAAGATGCATTTTTTAATTTTTTAATATTTTTTTTTACTATTATTTAAAGGTTCAGAATGTTGTTTGTAGCTGGTGAGCACTGTGATGTGGACACACTAGAATGGTCAAAGAAAGTCTTCAAGGTACCTGTCTTGGACCACTGGTGGCAAACTGGTGAGTATTTTAAAACATTGTTAGTAAAATATGGTGATGAGGTGTTTTATGATCTTGTTCTTGAGTAAGCAGGTAGATCAGCTATGTATTTCCATTTATATAGTCAGGACTAACTATGAAAACAAACAAAAAAGTTGGATTCATTTAATTCAACATGAAAATGTGGAAGTGTGCCTGTTTTGTTTTCTTTTCTGAATTGTCTGAAAATGACTTCAGAATTTTTAACAACTGTAGGAAAACAAAGATATCTGGATCCTGTGGGTTTTTTTTAGTTATTATTTCAGTGTTTTTCCAGGTGTAATTTTATGTTAGCATGTGTGATTAATTTATAATAGAAAAATTTGTGTTTTCAGGTTTAAGTTCTTTGCACATCTTGTGTAATTAAAAACAAATGAATGGAGTACTGGGATGAAGGCCATTGGCTGGTCAGGAGGGATAGTCAGGACAGGGGAGGTGAAGGTGCTGCAATGTTCTTAAGGGAAGGATTAGACTGTACAGCCTTGTAGTTAGAGGTAACATGGTAGAGAGCCTCTTAGTGAGGATTAAGGGTATGAATAGCAATACAAATGTTGTTGGGGGTGTCTACTATTGCTCATCCAGGACAGTAACACAGATGATAACTGCAGGACGAGGGGAAATGGTTTTAAGTTGAGGGAGGGGAGATTCTTTACAGAGAGAGTGGTGAGGTGCTGGAACAGGCTGCCCAGAGAAGTTGTGGATGCCCCGTTCCTGGAGGTGTTCAAGGCCAGATTGGATGAGGCCATGGGCAGCCTGGTCTGGCTTTAAATGAGGAGGTTGGTGGCCCTGCATGTGGCAGGGGGGTTGGAGATTCATGATCCTTGAGGTCTCTTCCAAGCCTGTCCATTCTGTGATTCTGTGATATGAGCAATACTGCAGAATTAGGCATTAGGTAGTAAGGAGAGATTTCTAGATCAGTTGCTCTTGTGCTTACAGAAGATTTCAACTCCTCAGTCATAAACTGGGAAGAGCATACTGACACAAGTAGGGCTGGAAATTCTCAAAGCATGTTGAAGATAAATTTCTGTCACATGTACTTGGTGATCTAAATAGGAAAGGAATCCTACTGGATCTGTTGTTTGAGAATAGGGAAGATCTTGTGGGACAGGTGATAGTAGGTGGCCATCTTGCCTACAGTGGTCATGAAATAGTTCAGTTCTATACTTCTGGTGTAATGAGGAAAAAGGTCAGCAGAGTTACCTACCTGGAGTTCAAGAGTGCAGACTTGAGGCTTTTCAGGCAGCTAGCTAACAGTGTCCACTGGGGATCTGATCCAGATGGTTTAGGGGTACAAGAGAGCTTCAAGAGCTTCAAGAAACACCTCTTAAAAGCTTAGCAGCATGCAGTATCCCTGCATTGCAAGCTGAGCAAGCAGAGCCAAAGACAATTTTGTCTGAAGAGAGAACTCCTTCTGGAACTAGGACAGAAAGAGAAAATACATCGTATCTAGAAGGTCAGGCTTTACAGGGAGGCTGATGACAGGTATTCAAATCTCAAAAGTAAGCGTTTCCTGAAATGTTTCTAAAAGATAAAAAAAAAAAAAAAAAAAAAGGAACAACAGCACAGAAATAAAAATCCTAATTACTTGTAGCAGGAAGAGGTCAAGACAATTAACTATATAACTACATTTTATGTAGAGATAGTAAGTTTTTAAAAAGTCTTTTTATTATTTATCTTAAAGCAATATTTATTTCACAGTAAAAAATAGTAAATTTTATGAATTACTTTTTATTTTGATTAGATTGCACCTGGGGGTACATGCTGCTGTTTTGTTACGCCCAAGCTAAAAGCCACTGACCTATTTATATATGTGAAAATTCTTTTGACCTTTAACAATCCAGCAAATCCTTACATATTCCCAGATTTGATGTTTTATTGTGGGGATCTGTTTTCTTTTAAAGCAGGAGCATCATGGAACTGTGAGGAAATGTTGACATCTTACTGAATGCCATAGTCTTTGCAATTTTGTGTTAGTCATTGACTCTTTCAACTGAGGCTAGAGCAGAAGATGGTGAAGAAGAGGAACTGAATTGCTAGTGTTTTGTGTAAGATGGCATAATTTCTTCCTTATGACTGAAAAAAGTAGGAAAGAAATCAGCTTTGCAGAACTGAGAAGTGTCTGAATCCCTATATGGAGACAGAAATGAGTGACAGGAAATAAAAGTTTGAAATGCTATTATAAAAAAGAGAAAATGGAATGTAAAATGTTTACTTGTTTCATCTTAATGATGTTTCATCAAAGCTATTGGCTTGTTTACTGTGCATTGAGATTAGAAATAGATGCATATGGACAAAAAATGAATATAGTTTTCTTTGATTTTTGTCTCGGGAATACATATGGAGTCTATGAAATCATTATGAATTGAAACAGTACTTTGAAAGGGAAGAAGGTTTTAATTAGGGGAGTTTAAGTGGTTAGATCAGTAAAACCTAACTGATAACATCTTTGATTTGTGTCAATATGCCTTCATCAGTAACATTTTTTTTAATTTGAATTTTTGTATTGCAACTGTAGTCAGGACATCATTAAAGATGTGAAAGGTATGTCACAGGATCTGCAAGTGGCAAGTAGGGTTTGAGGAAGTAAGGACTGCTAAACACTTGCTCTTACCTTTGGAGACATGGCAACGGATGAAAAAACAGTTCTTTCAGATCCTGTACTCATCTATACATAAGAAGAGAATAATTTTGTTTTGGATTTACACAGGTGCTTTTTGCTTATTTATATAAAATGACACAGCATTTAAATAGCTGTTTTCATCTTCAAAGTAATTGTGCAAATGCAAGCACATTAATTCTTTCAACACACTGGAGAAGTAAATAAAGTTATTCCTATCGGACAGACATTAAATTGAGAGAGACAAGTATCTTGTCCTAAGCTAGTCAGGAAGCCACTGCAAATTCAGTGTTAGAAAACAATTTTTCCTGCTCAGAAATAAATTCACCTGTCATAATTACCTGTTTTGTGATATTTTGAATATTAGTGAAGGGAAACAGACCATTTCAGACTTCACTGTAAGTCTCTTTGTGTACTGATGTTTTAAGAAAATGATGCATTTGCTGTGTTTCAGTATTCCAGCTAAATACATCACCAGGAACTTTGCCAGATTGAATTGAAATAACCTAAATAATGTGTAGGTAGTACCCACTGTCATATTCTTCGGAGAGTGCTAAATACACAGTGAACGGTGAGTTTAGGTTACCTTGGGTTTGGATCTGGCTTTGAGTTTGAAAAGAAAAAAAAATACCAACAGTGAGAGAGTGAAGAGCTGTGGAGGCACAGACTCTGAAAACTTCTGTTAAACTTCCCTAGCTGCTTTCATGGTAGCTATTCAGTATTTGTAGTAGAAATAAATAACATGAGGCTTCCACATTTTCTTTGAGATTTTCAGATTTTAGCAATCTAGATTTTCATTTCTTTGTAATAAATATAGGATGCAAAGATGTTTTTTTTTCCTATTGATATTTTTAGACAAAAATGTTTTGATACTCTGAGGACATATGGGAAAACTCAGGTGAAAGACAACCAAACCTAAAAAGTCAGTTATAAAATTTGAAGTGTGTAAAATCCCACTCATGAGACTTGTTTCACTTTTCTTTTTGGTTATGTACTTCTTGTATAATAGGAATCTAAGTTAGTGAGCACGCAAGTGTAGGAGGTTCAGGTTGGATATTTTATGTTAAGATGCAGTTACCTTAACTGTCCTGACCACAAACTCACTAACAGGCAGAAATATGAGAAGATTATTTCATGGAAATAAGCTGCTTTATCCAACAGGGAATGGGTGTTTGCAGTGGGGAGTTATGACAGAAATCACTTAATGCTTGCTGCGTTGTGTGCTGAAGTTAGTGTGTGTATGCTGTAATGAGATCTTGGGTACTCTGTCAGGAATTCCTGAAATTCTGTAGCACGCTTAATTTCCTCTATCACTTCTGTCCCATCCCTGGAAGCATTCAAGGCCAGGCTGGATGTGGCTCTGGACAGCCTGCTATAGTGGTTGGTGACCCTGCCTACTGCAGGGGGGTTGAAACTAGATGATCTGTGAGATCCTTTTCAACCCAGGTCATTTTGATATTGTTCCTGTTTCTTCAGTGTGTATTCTTTCTAAAACATGCAACTGCCTTGTTGGTATTATTTTTATTAATATTTATATATTATATTATATATATATATGTAATTTCACAGGGGTAATAGTTTTACTGGTATTTTATTAGGACTATACAAACAAAACAATTACACCATTGTCTTCAGTATAAAAAATATGAATCATTGTTAAGTATACTCCCTGTAATATATTTCAATGAATTACTTCCTACCACAATCATCTAAGGAGAAGAGTTTATTAATGTCTCCAGGCAGCGTGTTTTGGTCCCCTGTCTTCAGTTTCCATTGCGTTGTCTTGGCAACACCGTGCAGAATCTTATTGTGAGTTTCCAGAAAGGTGGATTTTGTAGCTGAATTCTGTTAGGTAATCTCTCTAGGTTTCTACTACAGAACTGTTCTTCAGCTGCATAACCTTGTCTGTCCAAATTTCATCTCCCCACATTTTTGACAGTTGGATTCCACTTTTTCAGTCATCTGTTTTGCGTGAATCTCAACTGTACAGATTTGCTTTCTAGTCCATTGAGTTCCTTAACATGATGAGATTTTTTTAGAGCAAAAGGAAAGGTAAATTAAAGAGTAGCTGTTTCCTTTACAGCATGAGTCAATTCTTGGATTTTTTTTTTTTTAATAGCCAGAGATGCAATTGTGGAATTATGGAGCAAAAGCAGAACACAAATGAAAGAGATGGTGTTTAGAGTTCAGGCTGTTGTTTTAAGGCATCAGTACCTCATTGCAGATGCAGTTTTTGCTTTTTAGAGATGTTTGTATCTTGTAGACTGGGATCATATTTTTCTTTTGATGGAAACTGGTATTCTACAGAGCAGTTGTTTAAAAGTGGAAATTACCATGCAGAAAACTATTCATCCCTGGGCTGCAG